TCTGTTTCACAACGAGAAATTCAACGATGTTTTAATTTAATTGAATTCTTTTGGAAAATGCGATATGATGATGAACTTAAATATGATCAAAAAACTTATATGCCTAATCCTATTCGTTGTATTGTTTTATCAATTGCATTAATCTATTATTTTCGACTTCCAACAAATGAAGATAATATTCAACGTAATGATAAAAAAACACCATCACGAGAACAATTATCTGAACTTCTTTGTAAAGCTATACCAAATTTTGATCAAATTATACAAAATGAATTGGAACAATTTGTTAATACTAATAATTTTTTTATTCCACAAGGAGTAGCAATTAATCAAGCTGTTTGTACTCTATTTCTTTATTATTTCATTTATTTATGTGATTCTCTTTTAGGTTCGTGAACATATCTTTTCAATTGTAGTTAGTATTGTTACACGAACACCTTTATGTATTATTGGTGTTCCTGGTATGTTATTGATTTTAATCTAATTTGAATAAAACTATATGTCTCTTCTTTTATTTCATTGCCAAAGGTCAATCGAAAACCTTATCTTTTCAAATTGTTCTTCAAAATCTTCAAGGTTCACAATTATCATCAAAACCATTTTGTAAACGTCTTCCTGCTATTGATCCATTCTTTTGTCTTAGATGAAGCTTCATTACCTGATGAAAAGAAAATGATTTTAAAAGTTTTACATCCATATTTAGATGAATGTAAAGTAGCATTTGTAGCTATTGCTAATAAAGCATTTGATGCAGCTAATGCTAATCGAATGATTTGTATTTATCGTTCATTACCATCTGAAGATGATCAAAAAATCTTAGCTTATGGTTGTTTGGGTTTACCATTAGAAAAACGACAAGCAATGATAAATGATCGTCTCGATAAGATTATCTATGGTTTATGTCATGGTTATCGACGAATTCTTCATTCATTAGATATTCCTCATATATTTCATGATCGTAATTTTATTTGGGTCCGTGTCATTTGGCAGACAATCACTTGGCCGACACATCACTTGACCGACACCATTTCGCCGACAAATTGTTTGGCCGACATGTACACTTCACCGACAACTCATTTGGCCGACAAATATTTGAAGTAAAATAAAATGAAATTTCTTGAAAATATTGCGTCAGAAAATCTTTTTGTCAAAAGTCACATTTATTTACAATGAAAGATTATGGGCAACGCCCCGAAGAAAATCGAACTTATCTCACGGGAAACAGTTTGTTAGCGGGAGACTTGTTTTAACTGATAAAAAATCGTCGTCTGATTTTATTTTGAAAAATGTTCACTATTTATAGGTGAATGAGTGGGAAAAATCCACGCAATATTTTCAAGAAATTTCAATTTTTTTGATCTCAAATATTTGTCGGCCAAATGAGTTGTCGGCGAAGTGTACATGTCGGCCAAACAATTTGTCGGCGAAGTGGTGTCGGTTAAGTGATGAGTCGGCCAAGTGATTGTCGGCCAAGTGAACGCGACCCATTTTATTTATATGTTAAGAGAATTACGATTTGAATTAAAAAATATAAATAATATTGAAGAAACTAGTATTGGAGACATAACACCACAAAGTTTATTACGAGCATTAGAAGATAATTTTAATGGAATTCGAATGGAAGAATTTGATAAATTAGTTAATATTTTTGCTATAGCTCTTGAAGAACAATGTCCTGATTTTCGAATATTAATTACTGAAAAACAACAAATTCAACGTAATATTCCAACAATATTACATAATTCAATGAAATTAGATTCAATACATCGTCGACTCTATGGTAGATATAAATTAATAATTGATGAATATGAAGATGAAAGTGCTGTTCGTCTTCTATTTCAATATGGTATTCTTGATTCTGATCCAAATCGAACAACTATTTTTCGTATGCCTGATTTTCCTGATGATATTGATAATGAATTACGAAATGTTGAAATTTTATCAAATATTAAATTATGTATGGAAACAGGTAAAACTATATTAATGATTAATACAGGTCGTATTCATGGTTCACTTTATGATGTTTTCAATCAAAATTTTTCTATTATGTCTACAGAAGAAAATCGAAAAATTTTTTCTAAAGTTGCTATTGGTCCAAAAACAATTGATGTTATTGTACATGAAAATTTTCAATGTATTGTTCATATTAAACGAAGTGAATTTAAAGATATTCCACCACCATTTTTAAGTCGTTTTCAAAAATATTCTTTAAGTATAGCTGATTTTTATTCAATTCAATTACGAGAAATTTCTATTGAAGAACAAAATCTTATGAAAAATATTGAAATAAAAATTCGATCATTTATTAATCATTTTGGAAAAGAATATATTTATGGTTATAATGATGAAACATTATATTCATGTCTTTTATTATTTATTAAAAGAAATAATCAAAATGAATATTATCTATCAAATATTCATGAAAATTATACACAATTAACTATTCAATCAAAATTATTTATTGAACAAAATTTAGATAATAAACAACAATCTATTCTTTTTTTTATTCTTTCAAAATTTTTGCAATTAATTTCACCTGAATCAATAATCTTTAAATTACCAACATTCGATGAAAATACAGCTCGATTATTATGTCAAAATTATTTTTATCAACAAGAACATTTTAATATTGAAAATTTTCTTTATCGATTTATTTCTAATTCATCATTAACTGTAGATGATAGAGAATTATTAACTATGAATGATACTTTCTATCAGAAAATTAATAATATTATCATGACAAGAAAATTAATGATATTTACACGTACATCATCATTTGTTATGAGTTTAAATAAACAATCAAAAAATGATTTATTTCGTCAAAATGATGAGAATGATATGATGATGAACATTAGTGAAAAAATCGATATTATAAATTTCGTAAGTCATTCAAAGAATAACATTCATATTAATGAATCTTTCGATAAACCAAACTGAGATATTCTGTAGAATATATTGTACTTGTTATAAGTATGAGTTGCCTAACGGTGTAATGAGATGTGTATAAGGACTAAGATCACGAGAAAAAAGTTTCTAGAATCATAGAGAGAGAAAATACTAATATTGGTTCCAAAATATAAGGCAGGTGGTTGTTTCTTGAATAAATTTTGATAGGAAGAAGATAGAGACCTGCGATTTTCAGCGTTCGATAGCCAAGACTCAGGAGCATCTATCATCAAGCAAGATCTCTTCTCAGATGAACTCTCAAAAGTGGTTTTTCAGAGGGTCTCTGGAAAACTATGCGAAATTTCCAAAAACTTCCCTATAAACCTACTGACTTCTCTACATATTCTTAATCAACAGCAAAAGTCATAAAAAAATGAAGTTGGTGAAAATGCTGTTTTTATTGTTTAACAACTCATTATTTTGCGTTCTAACATCATTTTACGAACTTCGAAACTGTTTTGAACTATCCAGGTGACTTTTTGACCCATTTTAGTTCTTGAAGTACCCCTTGCGGTAGTGTGCTCGTCAAAAAAAAATATCTTCGAAATCCTTCGATACTTATATGAATCGATTCGTCTCTTACTGTTGATTAAGAATATGTAGCCAAGTCCGTAGGTTTATAGCGCATTTTTCCAGAGACCATCTGAAAAACCACTTTTAAGAGTTCACCTGAGAAGAGACATTGCTTGATGAAAGATGCTTATGGGTCTTGGCTATCGAACGCTGAAAACCGCAGGTCCCTATCTTCTTCCTATCAAAAATTATTCAAAAAACAACCATCTGCCTTATATTTTGGAATGTATAATAGTAATCACTCTTTCTCTATACTGAGATCGACATCAAAAATACTTGGTCTCGTACATTTAAAACCTCATCGTATGAATGAATAGAAGCATGAAAAAGTTATGAGTATGAGTATAGATGTATATCTATGAATGTTTTTGTTTTTGTTCAGGCAATCATTGAAAATTCAAGTGAATTACTTGAACAATTTCAAAGTTTTGAACAATCAAATCAAAAATCTATTCTTATCATTGTTATTGATGGTCGTATTGGACAACAACGTATACATATTCCATTTGTTCGACAATTAATTGATAAAACCGATCTATCTTGTAATAAATCTATTGAAAATCCATCAAAATTTTTTATTATTTTAATACATTCATTTGGACAAGAACTTAATTATAAATTATGTTTTCCTTCAATATTTCTACATGATTGGGATTATTGGTTTGTCGATACATCAACATCAGGTAGTGCATTTCATTTACAAAAAAAGTTACAAATTTTTACTTCAAAAATTGAAAAATCTCATCAAAAAGAATCAATAAATGATTATCTTTATGATTTAAATATACTTTTTGATGATTGTCT